CGCGAAGAATCCTTTTCCGATTCGATATACCATAATAAGGTAATCGTCCCGAAGCGTCTTAACTTTACATTGCTATTAAATCAGTGTGGAAATTATTCATATAAAACGCGAAGCACAATTGCGACAGCTATTAGCTGAACGATCCGCTGCCTGAATCCGATAATTGTTTTTTATTGTCACATTGCAAATTGCTCTTTTAATTATCGTCGTTCTCCGCGCGTTAAAGTAAATTTTATTAGGAATGGTACTTGCACAACTTAATACCAAAACACATGAGGTTACACAGAGTTGATGATTTTTTTGTTTCTATTTCTGTGTGTGTAGGCCGAGAAAACAGTTTAATTTTGTCTCTATATCACTGTTTTCTTAAGCTTTTAACGTCATTGTGTGATATTCTTAAATACATCGAAATGAAACGTATTGCAAATAAATTAGTTATTGAACACCTTACCCGGTGTTTCTACTCTATTATAAAAAAAGGGATCCCCCTACTACCCCTAAATACCCTCAAGTCACGGCGCCTCGTTCGTAGAGGCTTCTTTTTGTCCCGCGCGAGCCATATGGCTCGAAAATAGCATGCCCCGCTTTCAGTATCAAATACTTCGAACGTTATCCCATATTATAACCGAAGCGGATCTCATTGTATCCAACTATTGTGCTTAAACTAACCATCGGTCATCGAAAATAGGACCGTGGGTTTATAATACCGAACCATTGTCCCCGAAAATCCCAATGAAATCGATGAAAAGTTTTGCCCTAGTGTTATTAGATCAGTCCGTCGCATATTGTGAAGAAAGTTCTATAATGATGCTTTTAACTGCCGGATATCGGTTTATTGTAGACGAATATTTTGATATAAGGCAGCCCTTACACTACCATGCTTTCTTACATGATTGAAGGGTCAGAAAATTTGCAAGTTTATTCAAAGCTAAGTAGCTGTTAGTAATAAATGATTTTAAATTTCCTTCTTTCTATACTGAATGATACTGATATTTATCAATTTGTTTTGATGCTGACATGGTTAACAATAATATACCCGAGAATATACCATTCTCTATCCTTATTTCCATATTTTTTTTAGTTACAATAATTGCGATTAGAATGAGAGGAAGATGCATTTATGACTTAAATAACATTAAATATATACACCTAAAGTCAAAACATGTCCAGTGTTTGAGGATAAAATTTAAAGAATTCCATAAAACAATAAAAGATACTTAACTTGAAGAAACTAAATGCTTCTTAATATTGTTATGAGCTAATAGAATGGAATCCCCAAGGGGGCGAGATTTTAATAGATATATTGTATTACGGACTGGCTGTCTTCCAAGCAAAATATTTTTCAAATAAAATTAAGGACTTTAATAGATTCTCTTTGTGGGCCTTTATTAGTTTACATCTTTAGTAGCTATAAACTTCATGTAAGGCTTAGAGTTAGGTTTTGATGCTTTGTCATAAAAATAATCTTGCTATCGGCCTACTATGTATCCTAATTTTTTAATCAAATGTATGTGATGGATCTTTGGAAAGTAAATAGAATTTTCCATGTGATTATTTTGGTTAATAAGTATTTTTTGTCTGAACTAACGAATGTTGCAAATAAACTTGTTTTTCTATGGTTGATTTTCAAAAAGTGATTCAAACAAGAAATTAGTTTGACATGTTTCACCAACCTACTTTGCAACAAAATGAATAATTTATTATTACATTTATTTTTACTTCTCGATTTATAAAATCAACGACATTCTAGAATTTTCGTTTTCCTGTTGTTAAAACAGAACATGTCTTTCTTATAATAAAACCATGTGTTCATATGCAATAAAAAATTTAACTCATACCCACTACTATAATTTTGTAGTTATAGGTTAATATTTCTATTCAATAAAAAATCTTTATTGTACATTTATACTCGCAGGTACTGTGGAAGCGGCTTGATTATTGGTTTCCAGACCATAATTAAACGCTATAGTGCTTTATATACCTACTTTACTTTAATAGATAACAGGGGAGTGTTCAAATCCATAAAGATTTGTTCTAGAAAAAAAAACGGCATATGTTATGCCGGCACGTTCTCGTTAACGACGCTAAGATGATGGGGCAGAGCGCATCTGTTACTTTTGTTTCGTAAAAAATGGCCTTACTTACACAGAACATAAAAAGCCAGATCCGCTGGCGAAATTAACTTCTCTTGCTTATTAGAAAAGTCAATTTATTCGGGAGCATATGTTTGCTTTTCGGAATTGCGCAACGGTTTGCCACCCCAGATCCCCAAGCGTGAAATGGGCGAACCTTTGGATATACATGGTGTTTCATTAAGAATGGGACGTCGCTTAACAGCCAGCCATACGCGAAAGAAAATTTCAAAGATTTGATCTAATTTATTTTCCGCCTGATTTATCCGTCCGTGTATGGCTGCTTAATAGAAGCAAAACATGTCTTAATTAAGGGTTGTTTCAATTTACAGTGTCAGTGTTTTCAAAAAATAATTAGGAATTTTGGCAATAGTTAATAAAAAACCCCATGTTTAATAATTACAGAGTTATATTCGAAACGAAACTCGTCTTAAATTGGGCCCAACCACTGTGAAAAACATCCATGGGATAATTTCTGCCGCTTGTTGAACAAAACTGTCGCCAAAACTGGATTTTACTAATCTTGGTATTTGCCGTGACATTTGAATGACAGGTATACAAATAAGATCGAAAACATGTGCATTCAAACTCTCACAAAAGTATAGTTACTATTGTATTCGTTTGTCCCCCGTAAAATTTCGGGGTAAATTCAATGGGAGACGTTACATTTCACATATCCGTAATCCTCTATTATTTGGTTAATTTCAGATACCTACATTTCTTTAAATTAAAGTATTAGTAACCAAATTAAAATGGTTTGTAAAATGGTGCGATTTCTAACCAAACTGTAATTTTAGGTAGAACTCTAATTTTCATAATGCCAACGTTTCGTTTCTTTATTGAGACATCTTCAGAGCTCGTAAATTTAGTTACTATTGTCATATAAAAATTACAAAAAAACATATTAATGTAAAAAATGTAACAAATTGATAGAAAAGTAAAATTGTAAAATGCCTTGCTAGTTTCTAAACTAGTTCATTCTTAATTAAGTAAATAGGCGTGGAAATGTCGATAGGATGAACTTGGCAAGATTATATATTTATAAAATGCATATTCTTTGGTATAATTTGATTCGTTTTTAATGTTTCTTATTTTCTATATAAAGTAAAAAAAAACATATTGTTGTAATTATTTAAATTCATTATCTTTCTAATTACCTAAAATTGATGTTTTCTGCTTAAAAATGTGTACGTTTAAAATTTCTAATATATATGTATAATTATACAGTGTGGCCCAATTAAAACAGTCCACCCGAAATTTTTTCAATGCAATTTTTTCCGGAAAACCCCGAAACAGGTCGATTTTACTTTCAAGGGGGACATCTTTTGATCATAAATTCATGGATGTAGGGTCATCCCCCTGAACGGGGGACAATCCCTTCAAGAATCTAAAATGGTACGGGAGGTTAAGTGGCACATCATTTTAAAGGTATTTCAATTCTCTTTACAAACATGTTGAAATGTTTTTGTTCTGCCCTAAAATTAATATAAAAAACCTGTTGGAAGTGTCGGTGAAATAAATCGAATGGGGTTTTTCGGAAAAACCTGTTGCATTGAAAATATTTCAGGTGGACTGTTTTAATTGGGACACCCTGTATTTGTTCAATAATCTAGATCACTCGAAATTTTCTACTGGAAAACCCCAAAAGGTTAACCAGCCACTGATATCAGCCTTATTTATACATTCTATTTATTATAGTTTTCCTCGAAATAAAGTATATATTTAAATGAATTAAGATCTATGTACGTAGATTTTCACCGAATATTTTGAAACCACAAGCATTGCAGTATAGTATAAAACGATCATTCAATCTAGTATAGTAAATTTTATCGCGACTCTTTGTGCTCGTAGTATTTATGAGATACTATAACATCGTGAAAGATAAGAAAGTTATCTTTTATCATAAAGATGGCCCCTTTTGACGCTTATCGATATTTAATGTGCAAACAGAAAGCAGAAGCGGGAAAGCGTTTGAGATTACTACTTACTTAACTTCGTTAACCTCAATATGAATCACTTACGGCTAAAATCGTAGACAAACCGACATGACTGTCTCTTTACTGGAAAAACCATTAATTTTACGTCGATTCGGTTTGCGAAACTCATTCATATTTGAAACTGTAAAATCTATTAATGGGAGAATTTACTCATACATTTAATATATCCTAGGAAGCTTCTCGGTGCTTGTTTCATAACTGGTTATTTTCGCTTATGATGCAGAGGGTTGTAAAGTTAGGTGTTTTTGAGAAAATTTTGTGCATTAGTCGAGATGCTAGTGTACCAGGATAGTAAATCAAGAAGCATGCGAGAATTAACTTCAAAATTTACCGTCAGAGCCCGGAAAACGCTTTCCAGACTTGAAAATGTAGTCATTAAAATTTCTTGCGTAAGTACGTTAAAATAATGCAAAAATAATATTGAAATCTTTCTCAATCTCTCGCAGTTCCGCCTGAGCCAGAAACCCAAACTTATTTGTGTTGGTTTGTAAATCGACGGCCTTAGTGCAATTAAACAACACGCACCCAATAAAAAACTCTGGTGTAGGTGGATTTCCAACGTCGCCATCGGTACTTTGTAATTGCAATTAAGATTGACTGATTCATGATTTTTGTCATGTTATTGGACAAGTTACATGCCGTACCAAGCAATTTTGTGGTCTAAGAAAACCAGACGAAATACTTCATGTCTGATTGTATACGTCTATCTCATTATTTCGCTTCTTTTTTTAGACTGCTCACACTATAGAAATTGTTACATTGATTGATTCAATTTAAATTTTGAAGTTTATAAAGATAATATAGAAATAGTAGTAGTACCTGTACAGAAACAGGCACAGCCCTTTCTAACAAACCCTTTCACTTGTTTCAGATGCGTGTTCTTCACGCACCACACCAAAACCGAGGCCCCCAGCTCCTACACAGCGGCCCAACATCACATTCCACACGTACCAATGTCCACCGGCGTACGCGGCTTGGTACTGCCTCAACGGAGCCACGTGCTTCACAGTCAAAATTGGCGATTCCCTCCTGTATAACTGCGAGTAAGTTAATTCATAAGCCTTCTGTGTAGTGTGTCCATTTCATTTTGCGGCTTCTCTTATCAGAACTTTGAACAGTAGACTTTTTGAGAATTTTTGAGAACATGTGACATGAACATAAGTTGTAAGACAACTTAAAAGAAACTAAAGAAAGGTTAGATTGTATCGGATAGTCGGGATCCGTTCCGATCACCCGATCCCAAAATTTTTGGAGAAAAGACAGGTGATATCAAATAATAATATCAAAACAAAACATTCTATAGATTCGTTTTTCAATTACATAACTTCAAATCAAGGCTCTTTATTCGACGAAAGAATGCACTTCTTATAAATAGGTCGTCCAAGTGTTGGCCACAGTCAGTTAAACGTGATCAGATTTTATTTGCAAATGATCCAGCTGAAGAAAAATCTTTCTGCGTACGCGTTCCCAAGCCGTTTGGAGGTCATTACCACCTGGTTTGACGTAATAAGTACGAGATTCAAATACAATTAAACAACTTGATTTTGGAGTTATTTCTGTATCAGTCTCGGGATTTGATACCTACAAGACGTCCAGGACTGGACTCCTTAATATTGGGGATGTGGCATATGAAGAGGAATATAGAAGAGAAACAAATTTTAAATGAATAAGATGACATAGAAATAGCTCTTATGGTTGGGAGTATCCAAAATATAAGTTAGGAAAAATAAATACATAGGTATTTTAAAATTACAAAAGGGAATGAAATAGTTTCAAGATGAAAAAAAGATTTTCTGTTCTCTTAAGATATTGATTGACACGTCACATATAAAGGAACCAAATTCATAAAAATTGTTACAGTCTTTCCGAAGTCAGTTAAACATGCAAAAAACGCCTGGCAATAAAATTTAATGACTTCCATAGGCGTCCCTAAAAGTTTTCTGCTAAAGGTAAAAAATTATAATTATTTGTATATAATGTGTAGAAAATTTATATTATATGTTCATTTGACCAACAAAATATTTTAATTATTTATATCCTCAAACAATTTTATAATATTGATGGTAAATTTTGTTTTGTTCTGTTTCAAAAGGTCTCCAAAATGCCATGTTGTAACAATATTAATTCTCCCTTCCATAATTGTAAGATCAATGATTAATAGAAGGTGCCTATAATAAATTGAAATTACCTGAATCACACCAAATTCCGCAGTACTGCACTGCACTGCTGGGCAATTTGTCAAACACTTGTCAGCAGTTGAGATTTATTGCCCAGTGGCCCAATGCAGCTGTGTTTGTATTTCTTTGAGCACTCTTCAACTGGGCGTATACACTTCAACCACATCCACGTTTAGTTCGACCAGACCTGTATATGGGTATGGCTAAATAAATATGGGAACAAGTTTTTCAAATATTTCAATGTTGAGTTGCTGCGTCAGCAACCAAACTTGGTATATACTGTCAACATCTTGGTTCTTCAGTTTATATCGGAAAGACTATAAGTACTTAAACCAGAAATTTTAAAGATTTAGGAGCAAATAAATATTCCAAATTTCTAAGATCTACCATCAAACTTTTTTAAACTGTCTTATAATTTTGTCATAAAATGTTCCATGCATTATGTTATATGATTTGAAGAAGATTAAAGATTTTTATTTTATTTTGTTACCTTACAAAAAATGTTTACCTTAAATTTACTTTTATGACTAAAGTATGTACCTGTTACAAAATAGTTTTTAATAAAAACAATACTGAATAAAACGAAATAAATAAATTTAAAAATATGTGCTAACATTCAGAAAATAGCTCACATGAAATAAACCCTCTAAAAGTATGAAAAACTAAGTTATGATACAGTATCAATATTGATATTTGATTGAACGCTGCAGTTGGAACACAATAACAATTCATAGTGGTCCATTAAAAAAACATGCTGTTTGTTCTGCATTTTTTGATAGTATAATTAGTTAATTAATTTAATTTTTCAATTTTAATGATTTTCTCATAAACTTGAAAGACACAGTTTTAGATGAAGTGAAAAAGAAATTAAAATTATTGTTATTAAACGAGGAATATAAGACAGAATTTCATCCATCACTATATGTATAACATTTGAATTTGGAAAAAATCGTAACATCCACGTAGTTAAATTATATGATTGAGTAAATTTGAAGATGTTATGGTTTTATGGGTTATTATGCCATGGCCTGTTGTATACCTGGTTTATAGAATTACCGTACACTTCCTTAATCTTAGCTAAAAATCTTTGACCTGTCCTTGGTGATTTCGAGTAAGGCTTGGACCCACTGTCAGAACCCCTAAGCCCCCCTGATGTTCATTTCGGTTCTTGTTGGTTCTAAAACTGTTACGAATGGACCCGTTCCTCAGACAATGATGATCCACTGAGAAGTTTCATAGTGACCTCTGTAGCTGGCCAACATTTGGCTGTCCCTTCACTCCAACCATTTTCAGAGTCACCACAGAATATGTATTGAATTCAACCATAGCATTTGCAGCCTTATCAGGCCTTTTGAGAGTCCCACTGTTCAAACTTATTAAGCAAGTAGTTTTGTTCTCTTTACAAAGTCCAAAAGCTTCCTTGCCGGCACTTCTCTCAGCTTCTTGGATTCCAGAATTGGTTTTCCCAGGAGTGTCGTTCGACTGTGTGCAAATATGCATAGAAGTTTCATCCGCCGAATCACATCCTCGGCAGGCAGGACTGTCTATAAGCCTTAGCTTGTATAGTAATTTCCTAAAACGACAGTGTCTCATTATAAGTCCCTTCGCTTTCCTGAACTCCATAAAGTTCCTCTGCATGGCTCTGCCCTGCCTTGAAGCCCAGTATTTCATATGTTCTGACTCAGTTCATTTGCCCAGAAGGGTTCTGGATCAATCAACTTTATTTCAGGTCCCTTCCCAGCAAATTCGTCCACTTTCTCATTTCCGTCAATGCATTTATGTCCTGGCATCCAACACAATCTAACTGTATTAGTGGTAGCCAGTTCAGTTAGTATTTGTAAACATTCCCACACAGGTGTGTCTAAAGCCTTAATTGCTGCTTGACTGTTAGAGAATATGTGAAAGAGTTTATGTTTGTAACCTCTAAGTGCATTCTCTGCTAAACGTGCTATTATCGTGAAGATTTCTGCTTGAAATGGGAAACCTCCCCAGACTATAGCTTGTACTCCATTTGGGTTTGACCATTTTGGAGTCATCTGTAAACTATACCAAGCATCTTTCCAGGGTATCAAACTTTTCCTCTCATTTGCTCTGATCCTCTATTCAAGTCTCGAATGGCTTGTGGAAGGGAAACCTTGAAACCACCTTGTCGAATACCATCCCCAGAGTTGTTTCTATAATCCTGGAATAGGGACTACCTCTCTAGTCATTATTGTTCCTGAGTTGGTATGGTGCTAATCATGCTTTTCTTTCCACCGCTTACAAACCGCTTTTCAGTTTTGTTGTCGCCAGATATCTCAATATGCTTTTTTTTTCCAGATGCGCAGAAGGTTTCATGGGGCCCAGATGTGAATATAAAGATTTAGATGGATCATATTTACGTAAGTATGGAGTTGAAAAATTTGAATTTCTCTCGTTAATGCATTTTTAATAGTTATTTCTTTGCTTAATAAAACTCTAAATTTAGTAGATGAAGGGAAAAGAATTGTTCTATTTTGTTCTAATTTTTTTTGCAGCATCACAACGAAGATTTATGTTAGAGACAGCGAGTATAGCGGGTGGAGCCACTGTAGCTGTGTTTTCAGTAGTGATATTGTGTGTCGTAGTGTATCTGCACTACAAGCGTCGCACTAAGGCGACCAGGACTGGTACAGATTGTGTAGATAGTCGAACAGCTTCTGTCAACACTCCAACTTTCGGTACCAGGTGGCGAACGAATCCACCCATCGATCTCCCCATACGAGTCCAAGACAGGGGGGACATGAAGCAGAGCAGTAAGGTGGAGCTCCACCAGGTGACCACCCTGCTGCCAGCGTCCAACGAACCATGATGTGTGTAGTGCATAGCTAGCAAACTTGAAAACTGCTATTTAAATTGATAGTGATGTCGGCTTTAATTGTGTAAAACTGTATTTAGTGAATTAACAGTGAGAACTAAATTTATACCCTGTATAAACCTATATATTAAATGAAGTGAGTAGCACTTTGTTATATGCAGCTTCGCTATTAACTTATTTTATTTTTTATATACACCAATGCAGCTTTATATTCTGCAACCTATTAATGTCAATGTTTTGGCAACAAATTTATATAAATAAAAATAATGTTAAATACTGTAACATTAACAAATTTTATTTATTTTTTAGTATCTGATTGAAAACTGTCTAATCAGCTACTACGGTCTTTTAATGAATTTATGCAAATGCCGTTTTGCAGTAGGTACCAATTCGTCACTCCAAGCTAGCTATGATTATTTGTATTCTCGTAGTGAGCAAAAACTGTATTCAAGACAGTGTTAATTGTACAGCAAGTCTGATATATGTAAGTCTGAACTAAGTTATATAAGTTATTTAACATTTTTTTGTAAATACGTACCTCCTCGGAGGTATTTTAAATAAATGCAGTCGTACAGAACAGAACAGGCCATTTTTGCAGTCATTCTGGATATTTCCGTTGCTGCCGTGATTATGATTCGGAGGGATAGCAAAACTTTTGGAGAGATTCGAGTCCACCGCCGCTTATTAAACTAGTCATCGCTGTAATCGATATATATGTATATGTAACCGTTACTGCTGTTGTATCAAGGATTTTTAGCCGTTTTTTTATTAATTTGAGCACGTTTCGGAAACCATTAAGTAAGCAACCAAAATATCGGAATACCATTGAAAATGGTCCATCAGGCACTCGCGTACGTTCTGAAATCTTTCGCAGATCGATGGTTTTTAAATTATCATTTTACTTTGTGTTAAAAATATAATTACATTCCTGGATGTAGCCGTTGATGAAAGCCTCGCTAACGTTTTGTTATTGTTAACTTGTTATTTCGTTCTTGATCCTTTATCGGCGCTTGCTCTTAAAACCACCGCAGAAGTCGTTGATGGACGGAAACCGTGTATTTCGTGATTTTAAGCACATGTTGTCGATAACCCAATATTGCATTCTGTTGTATAAATGTAGATATTCGATAATCTTATTCCAATAATGAATGTCCCGCCATTCTCTATTATTGGCAATAATGTAATGTAATTTAGTAATTTAAATATTTATAAGCACTTGGTTCCTAATTTATTAAAATAACATTTTGTATTTTTTAGAAAACCATGTTCTACGTACCAAAGTCGCAAATGTCTTTTACCTTTATTATTATTATTTTTTAAATTATTCGAGTATTCTAACATAGCCTATTTATTTCTCCTCCCATCCGCCCGACGTTTGTCACTTTGGTATTTGGCCAATATCTGTTTGCCAGTTATGAAATGTAAAGTTGTTTACGCTCCAAACCAAAGCCCAAGTACTTTCCGTGCAACGCACACCAAAGTCCCACTCGAGTATTTTAATTTATAAAAGTATCAATTGTAACCGGAACTTTCGTATGCGTCGCACGGACGTGCGTTATCAGACTACAAGTATTAATATTATTAATATATTAATAGTTATTTTTTTTTGTAAGCGTTTATTTCTACACCGCAGCGGCGGTGTAGGTTTTAATTTGGCATCAATTTTTATTCCTGTCTAAATATATGTATATAATTTTGATGAACAAATGTTAGAATACTTATTTGTTTATTATTTTCACATATGTAATAAATTAAAAACGATAATAAAATATTACGCTAAACCACCTCTTAATTTTGGACCTTTTCTTCAAAATTCCCCGCCTTATAGTCCAATCAATCTGTCACAAGCCTTATGTTAGATTTATGAAAAATACCATCTGGAAGCAAAAAATATGGTGATATAGGAAAAAAAATCCTAAGAAAGGTAGTGTATTTTTCCTGCGGCGCATAAACGGCGAAGGTAACCTAAAAAATTCATAAAAGTAAAAAAAAACGGTTTTTCGCTAATAAAAAAAAACTTGAACTCCACTCGAAGAAAGTTAAATGAGAAAGTTGTAGCTATTAAAAAAACCTATCAATTTGTATTTTTAAATATATCGATTGCTATATTACTTTTCGAGATATATCGAAAAAACCGTCAAAAATCGACTTTTTTTGTTTTTGCTGTATCTCCTGCAAATTAAGATTTTGAAACTTGTTACTTGCTGTAAATGTAGCCCTCGGCAAGCAAAAAAGTACCTTTTTTTAAAATTAAAAAATATTAAAAATTTTTCGAGTTATAACGATTTTTCGAAAAAAAGGTCATCTCGAAAATCGGCTCTTCTTGCTCGACGAATAGTCGTAAAGAAACGAATCAGGGCTCATTTTTTTCCTTAAGACTTGTACTTTCATGGTAAAAAAGAGTGATAACGATTTTATTCATTTCAAGTGACCAATGACTGAAAAAAGTAAAAATTTTTTGCTCACGTTTTTCTTTAATATCTTTCGATTTTCATTTCTCGATAATGCCTATTACAGGAATCGATTGCTGGCATTTTCATCCAAATTAAAAAAAAAAGCGTTGCTCTCTACGACCTTCTGGAACCGAGATAATTTTTTTTTTCAAAAAATTCCACATTGCGCTATTTAAATGCTACAACGTCCATTCTTACAGAGATTGAAATTGAAGACATATTTTCAACAAAAAAAGTACTGTGGTTCATTTTAGCCACTTCTGCATTTTTAATTGTGCGTCAAACCGAAGCATTCGGCGCGAGATAACTGTAGCGGGCCGCGAAGTAGTGGTAACGCTACTCGGCCGCTCTGAAAACTGAATTTGCACATTCAAAAGCGCTCTTACTTTCAAAATCTTCATTATCTCGAGTTCTGGATCACGTACAAAAATTCTTTTGCACTTAATTAGGAGTAGCTCGACGAGATAAACCAAAATTTGACGTTTACGACAGCCTCAATTTTTTTGTAAGCTCTTCTACCTATTGATTGCACTATTATACAACTGTCTAGAACCTAAACTTATACCTACAGGGTTTGTCCGGAAAGTAATGTCAGTGAGTTGGTTAAAAATTATTTATCGAACCGACTGTGTTTCTGTTGACCGAGATAGCGTGCACGATGATGAGAGGAGGCATCCCCATACAAACCAGACGAATGAAAACATCAAAGCTGTACACTCTGCGCTGAAGTCTAATTATCGATAAACCCTCAGAATGTTGATAGACCATGTACAATAGATCAACTATCAGACTTTAGCGGCCTCACTGTTTTCGTTCGTTCGACTTATCATTGTGCATGCTGCCATCACAAAACCTCCCAAACCACAAAAACATAATCGGACATGATACACACTCCTCACTGTGTGCCGTTTGTAACAGTTGGTTGTTTTACCACCTTTAAAACAGAACTTGATTGCGGTATGCTGTTCAATGTGTGTTTCCATGACAACTATCAAAAACATACTGATGAAATTTTGTTCGGTTGCTTAGAAGTCTTCCTACTACGTAGTTCCGCTGACTGTACATAAATAGCGTCACGCATTACTGCATAAAATCAGTCTTAAAACTTAATAGCCGGACCGTGTACGTTTGTTTTCTCGAAATTTGTTGTGAAAATAGCCTTTTTTCGTAATTGGTGAAGACCATTAACAAACGAGCTCTTCGCTACACGCTTTGTGTGTAGGTGTCTCACCAACGTCACGCTGACAAGGTGTCTAGTGTCTAGTATCAGTGACATATTCAGCCACTTTCGTTTCACCGAATTAACCTTGGTTGATTTATTATTGGCCGCTAAAATATTGTTATATCACATCAGGTGGATTAATATGTAAAGTAGGTCAATGTCAAAGGTCATTGACACCGAGAGGCACAAACTAAACAGTGCAACAAAAAAATAGTTACAAATACTTTTTAATAAAAATTTCAATTGAAAATATTTCAAATGTTAGGTTTACAAGTATTTTTATTTGTCTTTCATTGTGTGCATTTTATAGATAGCAAAAGTAAATATTTTAAAAGATAAATAAATTTTACTTACAATTAGTAACATACGCCTATTTTGAAACTACTCGGGCAAAAAATTCTTCTTTAAAAACAAAATTTTTTTAATGTTCCTCTGTGTCCGCATGGTCATAAAAAAAATGTGGTGACTTTAAAATATGCTACAAAGTCGTAGAAAAGCAAACTCTCTTTTCAAATTTATTTTTCATTGCAGCTTTGCTCTCTGCGACTCAATTTCAAACAGTACGACCGAGTTTGGGAAAAGCCCAGTAGCGGTGTAGACAAGAATTATATAGTAAAAAAAATTATTTTAGATTAATATTCTGGAGAACTACTACTGCTATTAAGCCTAAAAAACTGACCCCACTTAATTTTACGCCCTGCATAAATGAAAAAATTACTTAATTTTTTATTTTCATTATGTTTGAGTTTTTTGAGAAAATATTACTTGAAATACATTCCTACATTTTGAATTGTCGTATTAAAATGAAAACTTCCAACTTAAAAAACACCCTGTATATATAGCTTGAGCCCTCTGTTTTGACCGTAGCTGGAATTTGTGGATTTATTGTTCAATTCAAACCATCGTCATCATTGATAAAAATAATTTATTCAAGTTACCTTGTAACAAAATTAACTCAATACCATTATAGACCTTTTGACCCGTTCTAAATGTTTCCTTTTCTTATCCTTCTTATTTTTCTCTCTAGTTGCGTCCCTAAAAAACTGTACACCTTGAGCATCTTCTATTTCTTTCTGAAGAAACTGCATTCCGTAATAGTTGTAACCGATCAAGTCCTAAAAGAACAATGACGATTTTATTCAAGATTTATGAGTACGTTTATTAGACTAATGAAAATAATAAATATATTTAAAATATCTAGTAAACAGCTCAATTAACGCTTACTCTTAATTGTTCCACTTTTTCCTTGGCTAATTTCTGTAATTTCTGTAAAGTAAGCAGCAGAGTGTGATTAGCCACGATGGGAGCGTGATGTAACTTCAACAGGAACATCGATATTTTACAGACGAGCTCTGTATGATCCCCCCTGGCTATTAAAGCTGGCAGAGTTTGTAACACCTCACATACCGAAGAAAAAGGTAAAATCAGAAGAGCTTCTTCTAGATCGCTAAAAATAAAAAATAATAGCACGTCTTTCTCTTGTATGCTTGTGATATCTACTGACACGAATGGGTTTCAAGAAATAAAACCATGCAGCCTCAGTCATCACTCTTTTTGTATACGATAAGCAAAGATAGAAATAGGAACTTGTAGCAACAGAACATGTTAACAAAACACTATACGAAATGAAGGGCACAATATAAATTCCATGTGGAGAACAACTAATTATTTTAGCAGATTAAGAGGTAGTAATAATTGTGGTTTGACACCTCTACTGCCTACTATTTTGGTATTGAAGCAGAGAAAAGGAATTTGAGGCAGATTTCAAATACTGAAAAAATATAAGGTGTTTCACTTTTCGGCCTAGTGTGCTTTGTTTATACATTTGTTTCATGATGTTTCAAGAATATGTCCCGTTTCTTTTTATCATGTTCTCAAAATTGTTCTATACTGGTCTTAGAAACCCATGGAAAGTTTGTGAAACAAAGAAAAAGATATAGTCATTTTTGAGGTTAAGTTGTTGTGAATTGTTAATGTTGTAACCTGTGTCTATAAAAATTGTGTGAAATAAAGGATATTTGGTACAACATGTAAGTTTGAGTTGTAACTAAAAACCCAGAGGATATGGAAAAGGGCAACAACAGTCAATACTGATCAGCAAGCACATACAACCAGAAAAAATCATGTCATTTGGAAAATTATAGTATAGTAATAGTAGAGTAAATAAAAAGGTTCTTATCACAAAAAGCAACCAAAAATGTAAAACACCTTGTATCTCTCAAAGAAATCAAGATATCAATGATTTTCACTTAAAAAAAAAAAATATTTTAATGATCAATTTATTACCTCGGTCTGATTCTCTTAATAGTCTCCAAAAGAAAATCATCGGGTGTGGACACACTCAAAGCTATCATCAAAGGTGGTGGAATTGGTGTCGGCAGTGGTTGTGCGGATGCTGCTTGCAAAGCTTGATGCTCTGCGAGTTGTTCTCTATACTTTTCACATATTTCCAAACATTCCAATATACTTTCAGCCTAGAAAACAAGAATGCAGTAATGAAAGGTGTCGGAACATTATAAATTCATGAGATAAAACCATTTAATACTAAAAATGCTCATACCGCTTTTTCGCTTCCTACAGTCTTCTTTGACGGTAGGTTTAACCCTGGTTGACCAGGTATTACAGTCTGCTCGCCAGTCGCCAAAGCCTCATTTTGCTCTCTTTCTTCCTCCTGTTCGTCTTCCAAAACTAACACTTGGTCAGATTTTTCGTACAACCTTAATACGCGGTCTGCACCGCAGGACACCACAAATTGTCCGTTTGGACTTACCGCCAAGGACCAAGCCTCACCAGCATGGCCCTAGAAGTAAAAAACTGATTAAATCTGTTATAAAAGTTAAATTAATACATTTACGACAAAAATCTTTACACTTTTCTTAAAACGTTGATTAGTAGAATTAAACAGTACCTGCAATGTAACTATTTTATCGTACGTGTCGCCATCCCACTCTTTAACTTTCCCGTCCTTCCCACAAGTGAAAAAGTAATGGGTCTTGGGCACGAACTGAAGGCCTGTAATGGAATCGTCGTGTGCAAATATGCTTTTATGGCAGTCGCCGAAATCCATCCCCCATATTTTCAGATTTCTGTCAGCCGAGCCCGTAGCTATCAAGGTCGAGTCTGAAGATATGTCCATGCACAACACCGGCAGTTTATGACCGTACAAAGAGAGATAAAACTAAACAAAAACTGTTAATTGTTTGTGCTTGTTTTTTAAGAATTACAAATTACCTTAAAAGTGTCAAGGAAAAATATTTTAACAGTAGAGTCCAGAAGAGCAACAGCAATAAATTTGCCGTTCGGTGAAATTTTAACACATAGGACACTGTCTTCGAGTTTAAGGGTCCTGGTATGTATTAAGGATAGTATTTTAGCTTTTGATTCACTTTTTTCGTCAACTACCAATTCGAACTGCCAAAATTTTACGGTTTTGTCCCCTCCTCCAGTCACACAGCCCCTCTGGTATACGAAAAAAAGTATTATCACTAGTTGTTTTAACAAAAATTAATAATGGTAGTTTGGAAACGGTAAATATGAGAAAATCTTACCAAATCAGGCTGCAGGCAAACTGACCACAGCTCTTGTGAATGTGCGGGAATCTCCTCCAATATATCGCCTGCTGCTATATCGACTATCAATAATTTACCATCTTTTAATCCAACTAGAACGTGGCGATCGCCAGGTACAAAAATGGTAGACAGAATGTAGCTATAACAAAGTCATGAGTGACAGTGAAGAGATAAAAGGAAATATTTGTAGATTTTTGAAACAGTTATAACTTTTTTAATAATCGTCATATACACAATCAGAATCACCTCTAAATTTTTGTACTATTGTGAGTTGGCACAAAAAACTGTTTTAGTACTTCACAAAGTCAAACGAGTGTGGAAACTATCCATATTTTTCTAAACCCTAGACATATCCCGTATCGCCATATAATAAAACTAGAGGTTGCAATAGTTTTAGAACAAAATATGTACACGTACCTTGTATTAACTGTCCTTAAACAAGCCTGAGAAGGCCTGTTCCACATTTTCACAGACTCGGCACTCCCAGAAACGATAGCCAAGTTATCGCTGCTGAAACCTACTGCTCTCACTTCACTGTGATGTCCCTGACTTACTATTGCTCTTAACAATTTAGGCTCGGCATCTTTTACGTTAGTCTGAAGAGAATATAATTCGACAGTATTATTCGAAAGATTTGTAGACACACGTAACTCTCCACCGTCACCGAGAACTAGATCCAAAGACTTCGGCTTATTGGAGAGTTTAATAGAAGTGAGCCTTTTTACTTCATCTCTTAGACTTAATTGAAGATTTACGTTTTCGGAACTGTCGTTTTGGTCAATTTCCATGTTCTCATTTTTTCTGTTTTGAAAAGCGTAAAATTTTTAAATTGTAATGACTATGTGAATATTACTCACTTTTCCTTTCTTCTTTCTTTTTTCAACCTCTTTCTCATTCTAACACGTGCCTCATCTTCTGATAGAAACTGAAACAGTTCAATTTGCATGTCCGTACCATGACACCCAATGACTTGTCCACTTGCGTCACTAAACATTGATACAACTCGACCCCTTCCTCCTCTCAACAAAGAGCCTGCTTTATTGCACTGCAGTGGATACTGAAATGGCCAAAATATACATTTGTTTTCAAAATTATTAGCACTACTTACTGTTGGATCATCTGAATCGTCTAGAATAGTTAATTCTAAGGTGGTCGCTAAATGCTCGACAGGGTTTTTATTTTCGTTTGATAGATCTCTTTGAGACAGTTTCCATACCCTTAATTCAGCATCTCCACAGCCGGTTACTAGATACTGATCATCTTTCATAAGGGTTAAAGACCAAACCTGGAAATTTCTTAAGTTTTAGACCCCACCCACTAGCAGGTTTTTCATCGTTATATCGCAGCCGACTTTCAGTGCCTTCAATAGAATCCATTGTTTTAAATAGAAGAGAGTACATAATAAAAGACTACACCATACACACACTTGTTTCTAAACAATGTGTTCTATCTAAGGCCCCAAAAATGTTGTGATTGGACGGCAAATATTTGCCCATGCATGGGGGTTGTTTTCATTGCACATAGTTATCATTATTTAAGAAGCCAGTGTAAACAATTATATATTTTATATTAAACAACAAAAAGTCTTACTTCAGTTTGATGCCCCACCAATGTCCTAAAGCAGTGCTGTGTATCTAAATCCCAAAATTTTACAAAACTGTCTTTCGAGCCTGATATAAGTACTGACTGTTGAGACATAAATGCAATTTTTGTGATAGCATTTCGGTGACCTGAAAGTCTACATAATCCTACTTCTGCCACTGTATCCCAAACAATGATGTCAGTGTCCTACATAAAAGAGCATAAATGTACATTATACTAGAACGATATCATAATATATAGTTTAATTAAATCTTACTAACCTTTGACCCAGATGCCAATTTGTGACCAAAATTATCATATGCTAAAGTGGTTACTTCAGACCTGTGACCAGAAAATATACTAACAATATCGGCTGATTTTAAATCGTATACTTGAACGTTCCCATCAGAGTAACCTGCTGCAAGGTGTCGCTTATTGGGACTAGCACAAATAGTAGTAACAACTGCTTTTTCCCCCGGTAAAACTTGAGCCTAAAATTAAATTTTTTAAAATGTTTTAGCACTATTCAGAATGGTTTTTCTGTTTGTTAATACCTTTTCCCCTAGTCTTAAATCCCATATTATTATATGCTCAGAAGCGCCAACAGCAACAAACCTTCCCTCTTGGCTATCTAACGTTACAAACACTGTATTGCAGTTTTGACTTGCTATAATATTGAAATTTCCGGCTGGTACATAGCGTAGATACTGTTTTGTTAAGCCCATTTCTAACAGTTAAATAGTTATCACTCTAATCATTTCTAAAAAATCATATCCTAATAAATAAAACGTGCACATTCAAATAAATAAAAACTTAACCTAAAATCACTGACGCTGACAGTAACAGTCCACCACACATCTATAAACATATTCTGTGGTGTGTGATGTTCTTATGAACTGATCATGCACAAGATAACCGATATGATCTTTCTTTCCTGCCTAGTTTTAAGGATCTGATGATGTTGTAGTTCTATTTTCATTGCCACAGAACACTTTGTCCTTCCTCTAAATCCTCTATGTTCATTGCTTTGGTACTGCTAATGTCATGTTTTACTTAGAAGTTTAATTAGTACATAAATTAAATTAATAATCGATATATTATATATGTAACACTAAGAAAAAAATCACTAATACCTAGAACAAGGTTAGTACGACCTCCTGCGTTAATTACAGTTAATTGAAAATATAACCTCACAACTGTGACGTAATTTTCAGATGGCCATTGGAATTGGCCGTTTAATAAAAAGATATTGTATAGTAATATTGGTTCCTACTTTTGTAGTGAGTAGTATTTACGCTGATTATTCACGAACTCAGTTGTACAAAGCGAAATTGAAGCGAGACAATGTTCCCTATAATCCCTAAGGGAATTCATTGGGCAGCCCTTCCCGCTATGGGATTTGCGTTTGGTTGGTTCTTGGATAGAAAAGAAACGGAGAGATTAACATTATTTAGAGACAAAAGTGCTCTTTATGGCAGAACATTGCGTGAAGGAGAACCACCCAGTTGGCCATAGAATTAAGTCGTTAGTAATGTAGTTTTACTGTAAATAAATAGCTGTGAAAATGAAATATTTTATTTCATATCCCACATAAGATAGTTTGCTTTAAAAACTCTATTTAATTATTGACCCAGTTTTTAAATACTTATTAAATACTTAAAAAATAAAAATAAATTAAATATATTATCATACATGTATGACAGGCCCCAATATTTAAGTAGACTATATATACAGGGCTAATACCATTGTCAAACTTTACAGGGTATTCCAATTAATGGAATAAACTGAAATCTGATTACTTACGAAGATATAACAGCTTGAAATTTACCTGTTGACAATGGTTCTTTTAAACATGTAGTACCAAAACAAATTTTAGTTCATGCTTGCAATATTAATTTTATATATTTAAATAAAATAACACAATTTTTTAATTCTTATATTTGATTTATGTGAAATACCTATAATTTACAACCTACTCTGAACAGGTAACGTGATAATTTTTTTCTAACGGAATAAGTAAAGCAATGATAAACATTATTACTCTGTATTTTTTTTTATAAATAGGTATGTTTAACTTGAAGACCCTGATTTTCTTTGTCATCGTTCATCATCCGCAGTAGTTCAAATGCATGTTTTTTATTTTCTTCTGTCCAAGTTATGGATTTGTACTGCATGTCAGAACTGATTAAAATGTCATTTTGATATGTGTTTTTGTCAGAGAATAACTGTTTTGCTTTATTACATCTTTTTGCTTTCGTATTCCCCTCTATACTTGACTTATCATTATCTTCAGAGCAGGTCAACCACCCAGAATCATTTTTTCGAAAAAATGCTTTCTTCAACTTCGATTGCCTTGTGTTTCTTTTATTGAAATCGATTTCTTTCAGTGGACTGTGACCTTTAAATCTGATTCGTCTTTCTGAAAGGGTCCTTGTGAATGAAGTTGGCTTTATTATCTTGTTTACGTTCAATTTTGAGCTTGTAGGCAACAAAATAGAGTCACCGCAACTAACATAAGTTGCGTCCAAATTTTCATATGTTTTTTTCTCTTTCCGAGTAGATTTTGAGCTTTCACTACTGACTGATTTTGGTTCTCTGCAACGTTTTAGGTACAGTTCGGCTTGTTGAAGTTTTTCTTTGGCAGCTCTATCCATTAAAGCAATTTTCTTTTCTTTTAGCATCAACTTGTATTCCCGTTCATTAAGTTGTTGCTCACGAACCTGTAAAGAGGCTTCCTTTTTTCTCAGTTTTTCCAATTTTAAAGTGTATAATTTACTTCCGTCTTTATAATTTATGTCTTTCTGCAGAGAAATACATTTTTCAGATTGTCGACTATTGACGAAACAATTTTCTTTAAGCCATTGTGTTGATCTCAGTAAAACTGTAGGGTGACACAATACTTCACTTATATTTTTCCTTAGTTCAGCTCTATCCTCAACGAGACTTGTAATTAAAGATAACAGACTATGTGAATAAATTTTTTCCATTTGCTTTAATTCAATTTCATATGTACTTTTTGTGAAGGTTTTAAAAGTGCAAATTTCATATAATATCAATCCTAGGTGGGACATTTTCGCTTCTTTTAAAATGTCGTTGTTTAATTTGAAATTGAACAGTTTTATATTAAAATCTTCATCTAAAAAGATTTCCTTTATACACAGCTTTCCTATGAAATTATCTGCTGTTTTTATTGCAAAAGCTATTTGGTACAGTATTTTGCAAACCAACTCTTCACTGAAATAAGTATTATTCGCTAAGCATGTCTCTATCACATCTTTAATAGAACCGTTTTCACAGTATTCTGTCACTATATATAAAATTTTGTTTTCCTCTTGATCGATAATGTCGTGAAACTTTATAATATTAGGATGAGACATTTCAATTTGCTTTTTTATATGATCAAGCATGTGTTCTTTATTAGAGTTACTTTTATTCTCATAATCAACAACTCGCCATGCTAATGTTTGTCCAGTTTTTCTATCTTTAACTTTATATGAAGAGGAATTGATGCTATGTCCAAGAATATTTAGGATGTCGTAATTGTCCGCAGACATCTGCAATTAAAATTTAGTTTTAGGTAAGTATAAATTGAATATAATAGATAGAAATTACATGCATATTTATATTATTCATTTTTCCATTTTTTTAATGCCTCAATAGTTTACAAGCACTTTTAACCAACTTTTTGCAAAGAAATGAAAAATAGAAACGGTACAAAGTTATAATTATAAACAAAATTGGTATTTTTTGTTAAGATAATAAATTTGGAAACAATAATTTTAAGTTCCTTAAATATATATATTTTTTTATGTATGTACTTACTCTAATTACCTTTTAATGATTAATNTTATATTATTAATTTTTAAATTTTTTAATGTTTCTTAATAGTTTACAAGCACTTTTACCCAATTTTTCGCTAAGAAATATAAAAGATAGAAACAGTACAATATTGAAGACTGTATTATAAACAAAACTGGTATTTTATGTTAAGATAAAAACAAACAGATACACTAATAAATTTGAAAACAATTATTTTGAGTTCCTTAAATATAAACATTTCTTTATGTATGTACTTACTCTAATTACCTTTTAATGACTAATTATTACTATACACTATATTTTAACGTTGATTAAAAAATATTCTACTTTGTACTACATCTACAATAATTGTTTGTGTTTACTGTTTACGAACCCGTTTGCGTTTAGAACCGTTTAAATTTAATTCAAGTGCCAGTAAATCTCAGCAGGTGAATAGTTACCTGATTGGTTGGTTCTAGTGGTTTGTGGCTCTAGTAGTAGGTAGTAGGAGTCGAGGGATTAACAGATATTTTCAACCGTGCTGCTTTCTGCTTTGCTTTACTGTTCTGCATCAAGCTCCAGCATCCAATAGCTCTTGGTTTGGTAATATATCTAGAGAAAACGCGAACGCGAGTGGGACACGTAATATCTGCGGTTATAAAAACGATTAAAACATAATAAAGAAAAAAAAATACATAAAACAATATGACAAAGCATTAATTTCAACTTTACACGATATTTTCATTTTTCAGTGTTATGATACTATTAGGGATGCCGTCAGGTCTACTAAATAGGTTGAAATAAGTCTCAGGTAGTTTGTTGTAGCCTTGACTGGAATATACCGTTATGGTTTTGAATTTAACTCATGTTTTAAATTTTAAAAGACGTGTAGGTGGAGGATCTATATTTTATTTGAATTTTATAAGTTCACATTTAAAACAGAATTGTTAAGTAAATCATTTTATTTAAAAAACTTCTTGTGTAGTAGAGGATGTTAGAGTACAAATGATATATACACCTAGTACCCGGAACAATAAATGCACGAAAAATAATTAATTTGCGAATATTTTGAAGAATTTATAATACATAATACAAATATTTTTAATGAAATATCAAACTATTTCACATCTGTTTAGATTTCCTTTCGTTTTTGTTTTACGTAATTCTTGAAATTCCACATAATTTTTTATTCATTACGTAAGGAAACTACAGAAATTAAACTTAGTTACGTTACTCACTAACAGATGCCTCGCATAGGACCGCGGCCGCCTATTTTAAACAGCTGATTAAGCATCAACGTCCATCTCGGTATTTCAAATGGTTGAGGAGGTTAATTGGAAACAAGGATAGCTTCATACTGTGAGCCCTTGAGCGAATAAAGATAAAACATGTTAGTAGTGTAGAAAATGGCAGGAGTAGGTAACACAAATTTTGATTGTTTAGAGATTAAAACTCGTAGTATAGAACAAACTCTGCTCCCCCTTATTAAACAGGTAATATCTATAGCTGCTTATTAGAATTAGACTTTATTTCGCCTTTCCTTGTATTAGTTTAGTAAATACATATAATAGTTTGCGGAAATGGGTGTGCACTTTGACATTTAGGAATGCAATAGTTAATCCTAAAAGTAGTTTGATTTTTATAATCATTCACTGCGTATACAATTTCAGATGGGGCACAACGTACATAGTATTAAGTCTTTTTATAGGGTTTATGAATGGTTGCAGTTTATGCCAGATTAGACTTTTACAGAACTGTTTCCTAGGTTATGTTTTTTTGTTTATTAAAAACATGTGATTACAGTTTTTGTAAGGAAAATGTAGGTATTGATTACATTGAATAAGCATTGTACAAGCAACACTCGGTATGTAGGTTTGGATTGCCATGTAATACCTATACTGAAAAATAATATAGGATATAGGTATAAAAAGTTAACATCTAAATATTTGTAACACTTAACTGCCGACCTCGGTATATTTGTTTAGAAATTTTATAACGATTCTACTTTGTCTATATAACATGAACTATCATATACACGGTGTTATAGAAATATAAGTCAAATCTTTAACGACAGATCATTGAGTGAAAATAATACGACTTTCCTTATGCCTTTTTTATTTAGGAAATATACCTATTATTTTTGAACTGTATGAGCTATCACCTGAATGAAAAAAATTATCTGACTTGTTTTCTAATTTTTGGCGAATGCGCAGGGTTGAAGATAACTTAAAAATTGGGGGCTAAAAATTAAAAATTATTAATATCTAGTCTAATTTTTAATTATAAATGGTAATTCCAATTTTCAACAATTTGAGTTAAGTTAATGAAAGTGCTTCCTTTTTGTCGGGATCCCTATAATTATTATTTTATAAGGTCTTCTAATCTAGGTATACAATTTATTTTCTATTATATTTGATAATTGTATTTAACAATTTTTTCCATTGATGTTCGCGAGTTTGAAGGATTTTAACACAATTTTGCATTGTGCTTTTTAATTCTATATTCAAAATTTTGTTCTTGCTTAAAAAAAATCAAGTACACAAACTATCAAATAATTTGGTAATAACCAAAGACAAAAACTGTGTGCATGATGCAGCAGAAGTAATCAATTTGATAAATTAGATAATTGGTTATAAAGCGTTTATAAAAAGTTTTAATAATATTTATGTGTACTGGAGAAGTAATAGACATCTATATTTCAAACACAAAGTTATAAATTGGCGAATGCAGTGCCTATTATATTTTCTAAATAGCTTTGATGTTGTTTTAATCGAAAATGGAGCTGATGCACGTTCCTTAATATAACGTGGATAGGGGTGGTATTGTACGCATTCGATGGCAACCAAACTAATACGAACTTTTTGAATGGGAGGTTTGGTGAAGTATTCCAATTTATTTTAGGATTTGCTGGGAATAGATATCGCATCCTATGCAGACACCCAGGGTTTGCTAAGGGCCCGCAGGGTGCTGTAATCGCGGATGAAAATTTATATAACATAACGTATTTTGGTGCAGCGGAAAAAGAAAATCGAATCTTGTTCTATTTCTTGCATTTTATGTTTCGTCAGGTAGGAAAATTTACTGTTTCACTGCAGTGAAAGACGCTTTGAAAATATCATATTCCCTAAATTTTCATTCATCCGCCTTTTATATTAAATATCAATGGATTTGTACTGCTATTGTAGTTGAAATTTGTTATTGTTCCTAGAATATACGTCTTCATGAATTCAATCGTCTGATCAGTTTGAGACTCGCTTTGAGAGGGCATTACACATATTATTATCTTTTTGTTTTTAGTTTTGAAAGTTTAGGGCTTCGTTCAGTAATTGATTCCTAAATAAGTTACTCTAAAATAAAATGTTCGTGTAACTGTGTACAGGGTGTTATAATACAATGAAAAACTATAACTTCGGAAATCCTGAAAGATTTGGTTGAATTGGAGCAAATTTACATAATCTTCCAGAGAGAAACCAATTTTTTTTTTCTGAAAATTGAAAAAAAAATTCGGATTTCAATTTCATAATTTTTTATATTAGAAAGACTGCATAGCTATAGAAAATCCTTTTATTGTTATTTTTATTTCTTTAACCCTTAGAGCATATACTACATGGACGAAGCATGCTTACGCTGACAGTGTAGATGAATGACGGAGAGAGAAAGAGATAGTTTGGGTGCTATCTTTCTCCCTCGCGCAGGCACGTGATTGGCTAACGCTCGGGCGAAAGGTAGGACCTCCCCACTCTTCAACAATTAGAGAGAGAGCACTCAAACTATCGCCCTTTCTCTCTACAGTGTCTACACTTTTTAACACGCTGTGCTTCCTCTATATATGCTCTAAGCTTTAGCTTATACGGAATCGTATTTTCAAAGCTACTTTTCATTTAGCTGCCATCATCTACCTCATTATTTTAAAATATAAATCTATTGATGTTTTTGTACTGTTACTTCATTTCGGGTAGGAAAATTATCATCACGTCATTTTTTTGCAAGAATTGTAATTTTGACAACCCGTGGGTGAATTACGTTTTGATTTTACATTTATTGGATATTATTAGTGTCAATCTATCATTATCATATGATTTTGCTTCCTATTCCATTTGAAATATCTCGACGTAAATAAGACGTCGACTTCATTGAATGTGACGTAATTATATCAGAAACAAAAATATTCGGTGAATAACGTCCAATTACCATTACGAAATCTATTCAGGTTCTGTGATGAATGGAATTCTGCCTGCCATTTCTTATTGTGCTTCTCTTTTTCGCATGGCTTTTATTTACATATTCTATTGAATTTGTCGACTGCTGCTATCATTCGCAGATAATATATATTCCATTTGCCGTATAAAGAAATTGGGATTATTTTGTTTTATTTTTGCATAAAGTATATCCATGCAAACTACGATCTAAGCTTCGAAAGTAAAAAAATTATGTCATTTTAGAAATCACACGTATAAGTGGAAAATATATTATAATCCCTTTGCGTGTCTAATATACTTACCTTCAATTTACGTATTCTTGTAGGTACAATTTTCCTTATCGGAAAATCATTTATCAACTCTTGAACTGATTATGATACCTCGTGTTTTTGGTACTTTTTCAATTTTTAAGCGTTTTGATATCTAAGTTAATTAATTTCTATTGCCTGTTGTCTAAGTATATTAATGCTTATATTAATAATGTCGGTAACTGTTGGGTTCTGGCTTATTAATTGAAATTAGGTGGCAGTATAAATGATGGTTATTTAAAGAAAATAAATATTAGTTTTGTAGAAACGGAAAAGATAAGAAAAAAAAGAATCATTTATTATTATTATTTTTGTGACATTTGGTCGAAACAAGAAATTTGTTTTTCAAATTGCTTATCCAATAGAATATATTTCAGGAATAAATGCTTCTGAAAGTATTCTTTTGTGAATCATGGCTTCATAGGTCTTCTTGAAAGTATACATTTTAAATCGAAGAGGCAACACGTTGGCTAAAAAGAGCTTATGTCTTTTTTTTAAATAAATTCTTTAATTCATTTTTGAATTATGGGAAATTCTTAATAAATCCCCCATCTCGGTAATCTTTTAGTACATCCTCACACATCCCAGTAATTCTTCGACTGGGTAATTAATTCTCTTTTAATGATCATACACTTACATATTTTTCTTATACTGACCAACATCTTGTTGGAAGTTGAAGCAATATTTACCCCCAACATCCTTAGTCTAAAACGCCACTGATCAATATTAAAAAATTATTTTGTAACCATTGGATTCATAACAATAAAATTCTCTGAAATATCTGCATAGAAACGCAGACCAGTGACCACTTCAATAAATCAATTTGGGGGTAAAAGTTCGCTAAATTGACAAATGCTTCAATCAGTAGCGGAGCTATCGGAGATCATTTTACATGCAGTATTTTAGACATTTGATTGATGCTTCCAGTTCATGGTGATGTATTTTTACGAAAAAATAGCGTTTCATTTGAATGACTAGCGGTTTGAGTTTTATTTCGATGTAATTCTAAAACTAGCAGTTTCATAAAAAAAATGAATGAATTTTTATTGGAAACACGTTTCTAAATCCTATATGTGCTAAAAGTATTTGAAATAAAATTTGAATTTTCTAAGGATACCCAGCTAACGATTTTTTGTTATCTTGGCACATTATGTTATATTTAGAATGGCATTTCTGCCAAAAAATTGATATAGTTTCTTTTTTATAAATTGTGTTAAAGTTATTTTCAATATATTCAACTGAGTGGTAAACTTTTAAAATAAAACAATCTTCGAATAAAAAATCTTTTTTCGAAATAGTACTGATGGAATTTTCAGGCATATACTCAGTGACATCGAAATTTAGAAGCCCTTAAGATAAGAATTTTTTGCCTCTAATTAGAATCAACTCAAACTTAATCCTAAGGTATGATTAACGGTTTTTTTTTTCATTCTAATCCAATAAAATATAGAAACTCGTTACCACATTTATTTTACATTTCACCATGCCAACTTATGCAAGTAATGCCTCTGCCGTATTTTCATTATTGCGCTCGCTGATTTTCCCTGACATTTCTCGCTGGGTAGGTGTGAACTTTATTGTTCTGCTTCGAAAAATATAACACGGCCGGACTACTGTTATAATACTTTAGGGGAACATTGTTTTTAATACCTCATTTAAAATTCTGCCCGGTTTGTGTGTAAAAAGGTAAGATTAATTACAGCACTGTAGAGAAACACGTTAATTGAAACCGAGTCCTGTACGTGTCAGTGGTGACGCCTAATGATAAATTGGGAAACTGTTTTGACGTGGCCCTCTCGAAATCGTAGCTTGATATTGAATGTACTTGTAAATGGTCCAACCACCAGTTCGTTTTATTTTTTTAAACCAGTTACATTCCTTGTTTAGGACACAACCTGACCATTTGTTTCTCTCTTATATTTTTCAGTATAAGTTGTCAAAACCATTTTATCGATAAAACTGAAAATTTTAGTGGCTGTGTTTTTA